TTTTATCCAAATGAAGGTTTACTGACTGGGTTAACAGGGTTTGGTTATTTTTAATATGCAAACAAAGGAGGTGAAAACGACAAGGCAGGAAGCGCAGTCCATGTGTCCAATATTTAATTTTTTGAGCCACGCAGCGCGGTTATGGCTCGGCCTTAAGCTGAGCTCAGCACAGGTCCGGCAGCTCTGAGAATGGAGGCACAGGTGTGTACAGGTCCCACTTCCTTAGCCTGCTGACAGTTTTAAGTGACTCTCTTAACAATGCATCTTCTATTTTATTCTTTCCTGTTATCAGATGGGTTTTATTAAACTATAAAAAAGGCATCACCTCTGGACTCTGCTTGCAGGATTCTATCCCAGGAGACAGCAGCATTACCCTAGGAGACAGCTGTGGGGACGGTCACTGCAGGGTCCCTCTAGGCATCCGGTATTACATAACAAACATTAGGCAGGTTTTGGAATAAAACATGTGTTGTGTTACAAAGCAAAGCTCTGTAGTTTATCTAGATACACTGTTGCATGTGCATCTCTGTCCATCTGGAAGGACATGGAACATACCAGGAACAGTGATACCCTCAGCACAGCCACGTCTATAATGCTTGCTGTTTTTGTGATGAAACTGTGTTCACATATTACATGGACATTAAAATGAAATAAAAGTAATATTTTAATTACTTCTGCATTAATTTTTTTCTTTATTGATTTTTAGAGAGAGAGAGAGAGAAACATCGATGAGAGAGAACGTCGATTGGCTGCCTCCTGTATGCTCCCCACTGGGGATCAGGCCCACAACCTGGGCATGTGTCCTGACTGGGAATCAAACCAGTGACCTCTTGGTGCATGGGTCAATGATCAACCACTAAGCCACACTGGCCGGGCTACTTCTGTATTCAATATATTATCTGAACACCAATGCCATGCAAAGCATTCAGCTGGTTTTTTTGATAGAGCAAGATACAAATCAGTTACCTGTCTTGGGGGAACCCATGATCTTTTTTTCTTTAATCCTCACCCGAGGACATTTTTGCATTTATCTTCAGATAGAGTGGGGGGGGGGGAGAGAGAGAGAGAGAGAGAGAGAGAGAGAGAGAGAGAGAGACATCGATGTGAGAGAGACACATCAACTGGTTGCCACCCACACAACCCCAACCAGGGCCGGGGGCAAACCGCAACTGAGGTACGTGCCCTTAGCGGGAACCGAACCCGGGACTCTCTGGTCCATGGGTCGGCACTCTAACCACTGAGCCAAACTGGCCAGGGTGGAACCCATGATCTTAAGAAGGAAAAGTACCTGCTGTTTCTTTTCCCTCTGCTACATCCCAGGTCCTGTCCTAAGCACGTTCATATTTGTTCTTTGACCATCCCAATAATATGGAGCTTGGCTGTATTTCCTTACTTTACAGACAAGGTACAGAGGTAGGCATTGCCCAAATTGGGCTGGTGGCAGAGCCAACTTCAGAACCCAGACCCAACAGATCCTAAACCCCTATACTCTCCATTGCTCTTCTGGCATTCAGATACAGATGGTCAAACTGCAAGGCATCTTGGCATCAGCTTACGGAACTGCAGGATAGAAGATCAAAACAGGAAAGGCTTCATGGAGGAAGTGCCATTTGGACTGGCCCTTAAAACATGAGTAGAGGCCCTGGCCAGGTTGGGCCAGCGGTTAGAGCGTCAGCCCGCAGACCAGAGAGTCCTGAGTTTAGTTCCCGCTAAGGGCATGTACCTCGGTTGCAGTTTGTCCCCGGCCCCAGTTGGGGTCGTGTGGGTGGCAGCCAGTCTATGTGTCTCTCTCACATCGATGTTTCCCTCTCCCCCTCCCCATCTGAAGATAAATGCAAAAATGTCCTTGGGTGAGGATAAAAAAATCAATAAATAAAAATATATATGAGTAGGAGTTTGGCAGGCGAAATAAGAAGAAAGGATGAGTCAACTTGTATTAAGCACTGTCTCGTGCCCCAGCAGCTGTGCTAACTGAACTTAGGAGCGTTACGTGGTTTTTTACTCTTTGAAATAGGCCTTGTTCTCCCGGGTTTGCAGATGTAGACTCTGAAACCCGGCAAGTTCAGTGACTCATCCACAATTACAGAACTGCTAATAGCAGAAAGGGGCCTTCTAATTCCAAAAACGACAGCCTTTCCTCCAAACTCTACTGACCTAGAATTAAATGGAATGTATTGGAAGAGAAAAAAAACCTTTGGCCGGTGTATCCAGAGACCTGGCTCCTGGCCCTGGCTTAGCTGATGTACCTCCTGCAAGATCTGAGCAAGTCCCCTTGTCTCTCTGGGACTCTATGCCCCCTTCCGGGGCCTTCTAGACATGTCCAAAATCAATGGATTAGTCAAGGATTTCCAAAGTCCATAACTGATAGCTTCAGGGCACTGAAGCTCCCATGCTCACACCCACAGATCAGACACACCCCAAGAAAGACAGGGACGGGTGACTAGCCACCAAGAATGTTGATTGGTTGGAGTAGTAGGTGCAGAGGGGCACTGGAGGAGCACATTTCTCTGCTATTGTCCTGTTCTATCCACATGTTTCTGCCTGAGCTTAACCTCCAAGACCTGGAGTCTCGGCCCAGAATTCTGGTAGCACCCTTGTGATATAATAAACAAGCATTCTTTGGTTTTTGTCCACAGGTCCTAACACGCAGCTCCTGACACCCTTGGGATTTATGGAGTATTAAGAGATCTTTCCTATGCTAGTGAGATCAGTCAGGGCCTTTAGATAACTTCCCAATGGGGGCTGGTCCCCAGAAAGACCTAGGAATGACCGCCTGGGAGAGGGGCGGGAGACTAAGTCAATCACCAGAGCCACGAATGTCATCAGCCATGCCTACATGATGCAGTGATAAAAAATCCAGAAAATCCACTCCACCCTGCCCGGTGCTCCTCTTTCATTGGGCTGTCTCTGAGCTAATATCCTTTCGAATAAACCAGTAAGTAAAGCGTCGTTATGAGTTCCGCGAGTCATTCAAGCAAATTATCTGAGAGGGGGTCAGGAAATCTCTGAATTTGTTGCTAAGTCAAACAGAAAGGTGGGTGACCTGGGATCTGAGGTGGGAAGCAGTCTTGTCGGACTGAGATCTTAAACCCATAACACCAGCACTAACTCCGAGTAGTTAGTGTCAGAATTTAACTGAGTTGTAGGACACCCAGCTGGTGTCCAGAAGTTGGTCTCAGAATTAGTTCAAGTCAGGAGGAAATTAAAAAAAAAAAATCACACGGCTCCTCCAGGCCATACCTCCCAGCACATGGGGTTTCCGGGCCCTTCATGGAGACTCAGATCCCTCTGGTCATCCCATCTCCTAGGGCAGCACCATCCACTCCTGGTCAATCTGGCTGTTACCTGTCCTCCAGTGTGCTTAGTGGCCAATAAAAACTAATATTTGGCAACATTTTTTAAACTTTTCTATAAATCCTCACCCAAGGACATTTTTCCATTTATCTTCAGATAGAGTGTGAGGGAGGAAGAGAGAGAAAGATCGATATTGTGAGAGGCACATCGACTGGTTGCCTCCACGTGACCCTGACCAGGGCCAGGGACCCAACTGCAACCAAGGTACGTGTCCTTGACTGGAATCAAACCCGAGACTCCTTGGTCTGCGGGCCAACGCTCCGACCACTGAGCCAAACCGGCCAGGGCTATATTTTATAACATTTTTAAAAGTTACCGTCTTTTGCTTAATTTGAGCCTCTGGTCAAACCTGTGAGGACCCATTTACTAAGTGAGCAAACCGAGGCTCAGAGAAACGAATCGGCCGCACAAGGAGTCCGTGTCCAGGTGAGCAGTAGGCTGGCGCTCCCCTGGCCCAGGTCAGGTCAAGGAATCTCCGGAAGCTACAACGTAGGGAATGTTAGGCAACGTCACTCCTCCCTCTAGATCCCCCACCTCTGCTGATTCTACAAAAGAGGAAGAAAGCTCCCCAGAGGCCTGGCTTGGCAACGAGGAGGCAGGGGCTGTTTCCCGTTTGGGTGGGACGTTTACGAGTTAAGTGCTGAGCTGCCCACAAAGCCGGAACACACGCCTCGATGCCCCTTGTGGCATGGCAGGCATGCAATGGGCGCAGAAAACTGAGAGGCTGGGAAGGAAGCTCCCTGAACCCACCACAGTGCCCCAGTAAGGAGCTGCCCTGCAGACTTAGGAGGCCACCCATCCTGAGAGCTGGGCCTGGCCCCACACCCAACTTCCTGAAGATTCTGGCTCTGTGGGCAGGCTCTGGGTGACAGACTGACAGGGCGCCATGTAAAGATACCTGCACCTCAGGTGACATGGGTCTGCACCCAGTGCAGCTGCCTACCTGAACCCCTGCCCCGGCCTGACTGTAGATGTGGCCTGTCTGGGTGTCTGTTTCTAAGTCCCTGCTCTGCCCAGGGCTGGGAAGGGCCCGCCCCTCCCCTGGCCCCACCCACGTGGTTTCCTCTGGGTTTCAGTTCTGCTCAGGCTAGGTGAGGGGTTCTTCCTGGCTGGTATCGCAGGACCAGGAGAAGTCTACGGAGACCTGGGTGTGGCAGCTCTGGGCTCAGTCCTGGGCTCTAAAGTCCACCCTGTGCTCCACTTCTCCCCCCACCACACCTCACGTCAGCATCGCAGCTCAAGGCTCGGTCCAGAGAGTCCAGGTCCCAGGAGAGGGAGGACAGGGGAGCACAGAACAGTGAGTGTCCTGATCATCCCACCCTCCCATCCCTGCCCCCTCACTCTCCTGACCTCCTGCAGCCCAGACCCAGCAACTCAGTAACTTCACCTCTTCCAGTGTCTCCAGCCCCCTCTGGGCTCCTTCCTACGCCTTTTCCTGCCTCTCCCCTTCACCTCCCTTCTCCCAATACCATCTATTGCAGATGCCAGTGTTTACAAAAGTGAGCCCTGAAGGCGGACTAGGCGCTCATCAGGTGAAGACAATGACGCAGGTGGAAGTCTTGCACTGGGAAATGGTAGGGTCGAAGGATGACAGCTATTCTCTGCCTGCCTGAGGCCCCTCCCCACCCACCCCCTCCCCAGTGAACATGTCCCAGGCCCTCCAAGCCGGGCGTGAGGCGACCGGTGGAGCAGACATGGCCAGTGCAGCAGTCCAAGTCACAAAAGCAGAGAAGCCTGAGAGAGCCCAGCGGCTGCTGACCCGGAAGGCGATGCTGATGATGAAGGTGCCCCTGAAGACGGTCCAGCTGCCGCAGCCTAATAAGGATGCCTGGGAGCACCTCCTGGTGCAGCCCCAGCTCAGCCAGAAAAGACGGGTGGCAAGGAGGTGGTCTCATGCCTGCTGGTTCAACACAGGGAGCAGCAGGCCTGCGACCTGGCCCTGAAGACCTGGAAGAAGAAGGGCCTGAGCAAGCCGTGTGGCCCAGCCCAGAAAGAGGCAGCCGTGGAGTCAGGTGAGTAGACAAAGCGCGCTCTGCCTGCTGCCTATTTCCTACCCACCGCTGCCCCACTGAACTCCCACCAAACCTTCCTCTGGGCAGTAACTGTTGGGGAAGAGTGCCAAGGGTGTTCCCAGCAACCCATGTGGTCCTCACAGCACCGGGGAGGGCGTGCTCACAGGGCCCGAACCGAGAGGCTGACGTTCGGAAGGCACTGGCTGGAAGGAGGTGGCTTTCGCACCCCGCTCCCTAGCAGGCATTTGCTGGTATTGTGCTATAAGCACAGGAAGGAGTCAGAGAGAGGCGATTTCTGGTCCCAGTAATACCACATCGGGCAAGTCGCTTCACCGCTCCCTGCATCTGTCTCTCCATCTGCCAAACGAGAGCGTGAGAGTCCGCCTCCTGGACCAGAAGAGGGTACAGAGATCATCCGTGTTAGACATTTAGCACAGAGTGTAATTCCTAGAAATGCTCAATGAATTGTTCTGTTGCCACTGTTGCTGCCACAGCTGATGTTGTGACTGTTAACAGCCATGGTGGCAGAGGCTGTTAGCCTCACGTGGGGGAAGTTGAGGCACAGAGAGGAGTCTTGACTTATATGAGAGGTAGAGGGAAAACCAGGATAGAGATGCAAATTTCCTGGAGCCCAGATCACCCGCCACCATGTTTTGGAGTCATTCAGCAGCTACGTGGCGCTGGTTCTGGAGGTCAAGTTCCTGGTCCTGTTGGGAGTCTAGTCCCACTTGGCTGTAACAATAACTTCAGTCATCTTTCATGAAGTCCTTCTTTGGTGCTCAGTTAGGAGAGGTGGCTGGCAAAACAGAACTCCTCAAAAGGTGAATTTTTTAGCTGATTACACCTCTGAATTTACAAAGCTGCAAGTATTCCCCAAATTCTCAAATCCTACTCAAATTGCAGCAAAGAACAGTGATCGGGGACATCACTTGTAGAAAAGGAACATAAAATCTGAACTGTCTAAAGCGGCAGGGCCCCTCCACACACATTCTCTCCTTGTCCCTGAAGCTATTACAATGCTAAAGTCGGGCACCTGATCTTCATCCTCCAACAGCCCGCAGCACCCCCGAAGACTTTCCAAGGCATCACTGCTGTCCTGACACCAGTGCCTCCACCCACCTTTCACCAGCCCCCAGGATTTGCTCCACCCTGGCAACCCCACCATGCTACACCACCCCCGCAGCATTGGCCAGTACTTTTGTCTTTTTTTAAAATATTTTTTTCTTTATTGATTTTAAAGAGAGAGGAAGGGAGAGGGAGAGAGAGCTAGTAACATTAATGAGAGAGGACATCGACTGGCTGCCTCCTGCATGCCCCCCACTGGGGATTGCTCCCACAACCTGGGCATGTGCCCTGACTGGGAATCAAACCGGTGACCTCTTGGTGCATGGGTCAGTGCTCAACCACTGAGCCACACTGGCTAGGCCAATACTTTTGTCTTTTAACCATTCTACTAGAGCAGAGGTTCTCAACCTGTGGGTCTCGACCCCTTAGGGGGTCGAATGACCCTTTCACAGGGGTGGCCTAGGACCCAACAGTAGCAAAATTACAGTTATAAAGTAGCAACGAAAATAATTTTATGGTTGGGGGTCACCACAACATGAGGAACGGTATTAAAGGGTCGTGATATTAGGAAGGTTGAGAACCACTGTTAACTAGAGAGTGCTGTACACACCATCATTACAGTATAGCATATTCTGAATTTGACTACATATGTACCTTTACCAGTGAGATTGATATTTTCACGTGTTTTTATGTTACCAATTAGCATCCTTTATTTCAACTTGGAGAACTCCTTTTTGCCTTTCTTGAGAGTCAGCTCTAGTGGTAATGAAACCCCTCAGCTTTTGTTTATCTGGGAAAGATTTTTATCCCTCCTTTATTTCTGAACTTTTGCTGAGCAAATTTCTCTTAGCTGACGGCTGTTTTTCTTTCAACACTTTGAATATATCATCTACGCTCTCCTGGGCTGTGAAGTTTCTGCTGAAAAATCTGCTCTACACTTTGTGGGAGCCCCTGGTCCACGAGCCGTCGTTCATGTGCCCCTTTCTTCTTCTCTTTGATTCCTGACAAGTTTATTATAATGTGATAAGTGAGGTCTTTTTAAAGCATCTTGAGTTTGAAGTACCTGGATGTCCATATCACTTTGCAGATCTTGAATTTTATATAATTGTCAATATTATTCTTCTTTGATTTTTTTCAATCAGTCAAAAATGTCACAACCAGCCCAGCCGGTGTGGCTCAGTGGTTGAGCATCGACCCATACACCAAGAGGTTGCTCATTCGATTCCTGACTGGGGCACGTGCCCAGGTTGTGGGCCTGATCCCCAGTGGGGGGCATGCAGGAGGCAGCCAATCGATGTTCTCTCTCATCAAAGTTTCTATCTCTCTCTCCCTCTCTCTTCCTCTCTTTTTCAAGTCAATAAAGAAAAAAAATGTAACAGCTATTTTTAGGGCACAGGTTGTACAAAGGTTGTCATCTAGATATGGCCGGAGTTTGCCAACCCCTGGTCAAAAGTAATATTAAAATGTAACTTGTTAGAAGTATTAGTGGTAGGGGCAGAAATGTGAAACTTTTACTAAACCAAGAGGATGTAGATACGTGGTATGCTAACAGATCTATTCAAACCAAGATACTTTGGTCTGTCTGGTGTGGCTCAGTGGACTGAGCGTCGTCCCATGGACTGAGAGGTCCCAGTTCGATTCCCAGTCAGGGCACATGCCTGGGTTGTGGGCTCAATCCTCATTCGGGGTCATGCGGGAGGCAGCCAAACGATGTTTCTCTCTCAGATCAATGTTTTTCTCTCTCTCTCCCTTCCTCTCTCTCTAAAAAATCAATAAAAACATTTTTTAAAAACATTTTTTTAAAAAATTCAATACAAACATTTTTTTAAAAAATAAGATATTTTGGAGAACATGGCATCAAAAAGACCCAAGCCCTCCCTTGGCTCCTCAGACACACACAGGATTCAGAGTAGGGTGGGCCACAGCCATGACCCAGAGTGGCCATACTAATGCATTAGAAGATCTTCCCGTTGCCAGAAACATTCTCACAGAGACAATAAAAGTAGATACTTAGATCATGATTCCAGAGGTGGGGATGGGCCCTGAGACCCTGGTCTCACCAAGCTTGAAGTGAAGATTTACCCCACGTACTCTGGAAGTCCAGCAGGCTTCCCAAGATGCACTGGGCTTCAGGATCCCAAGTATGTCACTTGCATCATCTCAAACATTCACCTAAGGAGAGAAGTGAGAAGCCCTCAAAACATCCTGAAGGGAAGAAGGGAAGGGGCTGTGACATTCATTCAACTTAGAATCTGACCAAGATATGAGCTTGAGGTCCCTCCCAGGGGCACAGTTCCTGACATGTGCTCAGTGCTCAGCTCCTCAAAGTTCCCAAACCAGATGCTTTCCACAGAAGCGGACCCTGATACCGAATTGGAGAGCAGGTGGCTTATTTAGGAACTGGTTCCCTGGAAGTACCATTAGGAGGCAGAAGTGACAGGGATGGGGGAAACCAATGAAACCTGCATTATGAAGCAGGTTTCCCCTGTGAGCAACTGAGGTGCAATACACTAGGGATCTTTAGGAGACCGTGTAGACCACCCCTCAGAGCTGTCTCTCCTGGGGGACAAGGAACTGCCATCTGTCACTGGTGGAGGGCTCCTCCTGGAGCATTAACTCCCCAGGGGTTCTGGCCTGTCACAATCATGGCCTGAGAGAGCCCTCGGGCAGACAGCCACAAGTGCTTGTAGAAGGATAGCCTTGGTGTGTGCTTCAGTGGTGGGTGCAGAGGGGGTTACTGGCAGCAACCAATAATACCTCCTTGACTCCATCGTGACCATGTACAATTTACAGATGAAAAAAACTGATGCTCAGTTGAGCTAATAGCTCAGGTCACGGAATTAATGAAAGCAGAGAGTTGTGTCTGTTTTGTTCAGTCTAGATCAGTGCCTGGCAGCGTAAGCCCTTGATTAATATTTGCGGAATGAAGGAACATCACATAGCAAGAATGCTTTGGTCAAGTCAAGACTTGAGCTGGGACCATCTCATTAAAAGCCCACGTTTTTCTCCACTGACCTGGCAAAAATATTGCAGTATCAGCAGCCCACACAGTGGATAGCTTCAAGTGGGAGCAAAAAACAGTTATTGAATGAATAAATGGAGAAGCAATTGAAAACAATGTCTCATCTGTCTCTCCCTTATGTAGGAATCAAAGGGAACTACCAGAACCAAAAGAGAGAGAGGCTCTGCCCCACACAGTCATGGAAACATGAGGATTTGCACCGAAGATTCACACAACTGCTACTTCTACACAGATCTCAACCCAGAGGCTATGACTTCCTGCTCAGGAGAAGAAGGAATCAAGAGGTGGTAGATGAACAAGACCATTTGATTGAGGTCGGAGACTTATTTGGCCCAGGCCTGGGTACCCAGGAGGAGCCTCCCACTGTCATACTACATGGAGTTGCTGGAATCGGGAAGTCAACCCTGGCCAGGCAGGTGAGGAGAGCCTGGGAGGAAGGCCAGCTGTACAGGGCCAAGTTCCAGCATGTCTTCTACTTCAATTGCAGAGAGCTGGCCCAGTTCAAGACAATGAGTCTCGCTGAGCTCATCACAAAAGACTGGGCTGCCCTTGAGGCTCCCATCGGACAAATCCTGTCCCAGCAGGAGAAGCTGCTCTTCATTCTTGATAACTTAGATGAACCCAAATGGGACTTGAAGGAGCAGAGTTCTGAGTTCTGCCTGCACTGGAGCCAGCAGCAGCAGGTGCACACGCTGCTGGGCAGTTTGCTGAAGAAAACCTTACTTCCCAAGGCTGCCCTGCTGATCACAGCTCGGATCACAGCTCTGCAGAGGCTCAATCCTCCGTTAGAGCAGCCACGTTGGGTGGAGGTCCTGGGCTTCTCCGAGTCAGCCAGGAAAGAATATTTCTACAAATATTTCACGGATGAAAGCCAAGCGATTAGAGCCTTTCGCTTGGTTGAATCAAACATGGCACTTTTGACCATGTGTCTCATGCCTTTGATGTCCTGGCTGGTCTGTACTTGCCTGAAGCAGCAGATGGAGAGGGGGCAACAAATCTCACTGACCTCCAAGACTGCCACAGACCTCTGTTTGCACTACTTCTTCCACGTTCTCCCAACTCAGACCCTGGGAACTAAGCTGAGGGGCTTCTGTTCTCTCGCTGCTGAAGGCACCTATCAAGGAAAGACCCTGTTCAGCCCAGAGGACCTCAGGAAACACGGGCTGGGAGGAGCCACCATCTCCGTGCTCTTAAACATGGGTGTTCTTCAAAAGCACCCCACCCCTCTGAGCTACAGCTTCCTTCACCTGTGTTTCCAGGAGTTTTTTGCAGCCATATCTTATGCTATAGGCAATAGGGTGGTGAAAAGTGATTGCTTTCCTAACGTCAAAATTATGAGAGACCTGACAGAAGTATATGACAGACACAGCCTGTTCAGGGAACCCACCACATGTTTCCTGTTTGGTCTTTTGAGTGAGAAGAGGATGAGAAAGATGGAGAGCATCTTCAAATGCAGTCTGCTGCGGAACAGGCCCTCCTCCCTGCTGCCGTTGGTCAAGAGAGAGGTTGAGCGCCAACAACCAAACCTAGAGCCCTATTGTTGGCACGTGCTCCATTGTTTTTATGAGAATCAGGACAAAGACTTTTTGGCAGAAGCGTTGTCCGCTCTCTGTAAAATCAGGATATGTGTCCAAACAGTCATGGAGCTCCTGCTGTTCACTTTCTGCTTTGAATTCTGCCGCCCTGTGAAAAGGCTTCGACTGAATAAGGGGGGATGGCACAGACCAACGAGGATGAGCGCCAGTGCGGTTCTGTGAGTGCTCCCCTCCCTTCCCTCCAGCTGCTCCCTTGGCACTGACGTCCCGGGTACTGGGGGCAACTCTCACTAAGCCTGGCCCCAGTGGCTAAAGGACTGAGGTCACCAGTGACTTCTAATGGCCCAGTCTCACCCCCTTTCTCTGTCCACCTAGGATCTTCTGCAGCGGTATCTGACCGTGCGACCTGCCTTACCTGCTTCCGGGCAGCCCGCGGTGGCCCTGCCTTGTACCCCTGCTTCTCCTCCTGTCTCTGTCACTATGGCCACCTTCTCTCCTGGCACTTCCACCCCCATGCGGACATCAGCTCCCCTCCACGCAGCCCAGTGGCCTCTGCTGCTCCCTCTAGACATGCGTCCCTCCAGGCAACTGCTCACTCAGCTGCTTCAGGCATACCCTTGGTGGCTACTGACCGTGTCATTGGCCCTGAGATCTCCCCATCACCTCAGAATGTGAGTGTCTGAAAAGGGGTCTCTATTGTTCCTGCAAAACCCATATCCTTGCTGGTGTCCATGATGCACTATTGCCCCGGGGACTCCACGAAGCCCACCATCTGAGTATGACGTGGAGGCTTTCTCCAAGCCCTCTCCAACGCCAGCAACGCCGTGCACTTCCGCATGCGGGCTCCCCACCCCAGTGGCAGTATTGACCCTTTAGTACTTTCAGGTGCCTACCTGGCCTTTACATAAGTCACGCCATGCAAGGGTATTAAGCTCTGATTTATGCCGGGCCCTAAAGCACAGCCGTCCTCGGGGCACTCAGATCTGGGAGAAGGCGGACACCCATCCAATAGCTGCAGCAGAGTGCAAAGTCTGCGGTAAGAGGCATCGACAAGGTGGGGTGGGCCCGAGGAACGCAGGGATTACACGAGTGGACCTGATAAGCAGAGTCTCAGAAGAAGAAATGTCGGACTTGGGTGTTTTATTTTCAGATTTATAAAGTTTTCTTTCTTTTTTTAAGTATTTTTTTTCCTTTATTAATTTTAGAGAGAGAGAGAAAGCGAGAGGGGGAGAGAGAGAAATATCGATGAGAGAGAACATCAGTTGGCCGCCTCCTGCTTGCCCCCCACTGGGGATCAGGCCCACAACCTAGGCATGTGCCCTGACCAGGAATCAAACTGGCGACCTCTTGGTGCATGGGTCGACGCTCAGCCACTGAGCCACACAAGCTGGGCTATTTCTTTATTTTTATATCAAGACTATGTTCTTGTGTTATGGAGTAACTTGATACAACACCATTTTAAATGACCCTATGATATTGCACAGTTATTTGACCATCCTCTACTCTCAGGTACTTAGGTTATTTCTAGTTGCTGATGGTCATACGGTGAACTGATCCTTAAAGGACCTGGGTAGAGTTACTGCAAGTGGTGGTGGCCTTCACAAGCATCCTGAGCAGGCACAGAATCGGAGGCCAGGTCAGAGGTAAGAGAAAGCAGGGCACCAAGACAAAGCAAGAAAGTTTGCAATAGACCATGGTAAACGGGGTCTGGAGAGACCCCCATGGGAAAGTCAGAGGCTGCAGCTGCTGTGGGCAGGGAGATGTTAAAGGCATTGACTCGGCCAGGGAAGGCCAAGAGAATAGCGAGGATACTGTAAACAAACGAAAGGTCCAGGAAGAAATTATGAGTGTTGGCCCAAGGCTGTGGGAGGGCGAGGAGAACCCACATGAGATAGTACAGGTGTTTGGCTTGTGATTAAAGCAGTGTGCATTTTGATAATACATTTTTTAGTTTTTCTTTGCGTCCCTCTGATTAAAGATTAAAGTTGGCTGGCGTTCAACAAAACAAAATGTTTTAAAATGTATTATTCACATTTCCCAAAACTAAATAAATGTTTAAGAACAAATATGCCCTGGCCGGTTTGGCTCAGCGGTTAGAGCAACAGCTGGTGACCAAAGAGTTGTGGGTTCTATTCCCGGTCAAGGGCATGTACCTTGGTTGCGGGTTTGATCCCCAGCCCCAGTTGGGGTCATGCGGGAAGCAACCAATTGATGTATCTCTTTCACACTGATGTCTCTCTCGCTCTCCCCTGCCTCTCTCCCTCCCACTTGATCTAAAAAAATCAATAAAAAAAAATATCCTCGGTCCTGGCTGGTTTGGCTCAGAGGTTGGAGCATCAACCTGCGGACCAGAGAGTCCCGGGTTCGGTTCCCGCTAGGGGCATGTACCAAAATATATATATATATACATATCCTCGGGTGAGGATTAAAAAAAAAAAAAAGAAACAAATAAATTTCCAAATGATAAGTTCTTGGTACCTTTGCAGCATGTATCTGTCGTCTTAGAGCTGTTAAAGCTAAAACTACACTAAAATTTGAGGATTCTCTGTAATTCCTTTACATCCTCACAAAACCCTGTTACAGGTCCTTTTGTCCCCTTTTTGCAGAGAGGAGACGGAGTAGGCAGAGAAAAGTGAAGGTCACGTGCAGACAGCCGGTTGCAGGGCCTCTGCTGCTGGCTCTGCAGACACGCGGGGAAAGAGCAAAGGAGCATTAGGTCAAGGTGCTATGGGGCTGTCAAGGTGAAGATATCTGGCAAGAAAACAGAGATGTCAGTTTGCAACTTGAAACAGAGTTAGAGTCGCTGAGCCTCGGTAGTAGACAAACTCACTAAAAGAGTGTGTGAGCCCTGGCCGGTTTGGCTCAGCGGTTAGAGCATCGGCCTGCGGTCCTGAGAGACCCGGGTTCGGTTCCCGCTAAGGGCATGTACCTCGGTTGCAGTTTGTCCCCAGCCCTGGTCAGTTGTGCGGGTGGCAGCCACTCGATGTGTCCCTTTCACATCGATGTTTCTCTCTCTCTCTCTGTTCCTCTCTCTCCCTCCCACTCTACCTGAACAAAAAATGGAAAAATGTCCTCGGGGGAGGATTAAAAAAAAAAAAAAAAAAGAGTGTGTGAAAGGTAGAATTTCAATGGGTGGAAATTGGACAAGGCGGTCTACCATGAAACGGTCAGACAGTCATCCTCTCCCTACATCCTGCAACTGTTCTCTCCTGGTGTCTTCCCCTTTGCCATCTCTCTCCTGGGGACCCTCTCTGTGGTCTCGCTATCCTGGGAAGGGGACAGGGTCTCATGCAAGCTGACCTGGACAGCAATATATATAGTCATAATCAACAATTCCATCAAAAAATCCTTTTTAAACCACCTCTCCAGGTTTTGTTCCCTCCTCCCATCTCCTCCTTTCCTTTCTGGGAACTAAATTTCACCATGTCTGTGCAAAGGAAGAAAGGCACGTCTGCGTTGTTGAGGGGGCGACGGTCTGCATCCCCAAGCTCTGTGCCAGGCCCTAGGCTGGGCACTGCAGATCAAAAAATGAACAGTATCTGCCCCTGCCCACAAGAAACTGCCAGACGGAGGCCGAAATGAGCGCCCCAAATGAGCACTGCAGTGTGGAATGGCAAGGGCTATAGAGAGAAGCCACGGAGAAGAGGGGCACTCAGCCCAGTCCCCGTGGTAGGGACGGAGGGGAGGTCGGGGACACAGACCTCCTGTTGCAGCCTGGCCCTCAGAAGGACCAGACCCCACTGTGCTGTGCACACTGGGCTCCAAAGACCCCACACACAAGTCATCTCTCCTGTCCCTCAGGTCCAGCTGGGGCCCGTTCACAGCTGCCTGGTGGCAGATCTTCTTCTCCATTTTCAAAGTCTCCGAAAGCCTGCAGGAGCTGGACCTGAGCGGAAACGTCCTAAGCTGTGCTGCAGTACGGAGTCTTTGTGCAGCTCTGAAGGGGCCTCGCTGCTGCCTGCAAGCACTGAGGTGAGTCGGCTTGGGGTCTGTTCTGGAACAGGATGGACAGGAGATCCCAAATAGAAGTTGGTCGTGTACGGTCTCTGTATTCAACAAATATCCACTGAGCCCCTCTCTGGCCGTGCACCGTGCCAGGGGCCATGGTTCTTAGAGTAAGCAAACACAGATGGGATTCTATTTCCACAGAGCTTGTGAGTGATTGACATTGACCACACGCACAACTGTGCAATGACAGGCCCAGATATGGGCATTCAGTAGAAAACCGCCTTAAGAAAATGAATATTGAGTGCAGACTATTTACCCAAGTGAAGCAGGAGGGAAGAAAATTCAAAGGCCCTGTGGCAGGAGGGAGGATGGGCTGTCATGGAATTGCAAGCAGGCCAGTGAGGCTGGAGGGTGGAGAGCAAAGGAGCAACTAAGAGGCTACAGAGATCGTGAAGCCAGACCACCTGTGCAAGGTCCAGTTGGAATTTGGAGTGTTTGTTTTTTTTCATGCAATGTGATTGACATCAAAAGGTTGATAATGTTTCTACATTTTCAACATAGAAAAAGACTGCAATAGGAAAAACGGAATGGAGGGGAGCAAAAGTAGAGGTTGGGAGACCAGTTCATAGGAAAGTTTCCATTGTTCCTATAAAGATGGTGAGAGCTTGGACGAAGGAAAATTACTGTAGTTTCTGCAAGAAATGGTGGTATCTTGGACTATAGTGTTGGCCATGGAAATGGAAAGAAGTGAATAAATTCCAGATCTAAAAAAAAAAGTAAAATCAACCAGACTGAGTAATAGATTGGATTTATAGACAAAGAGAGATAAAGCTATAAAATGTAATCTTAGGTTCAGGCCTGAGGAATGCAGAGGATAATGGACCTTCACTAAGATGGAAAATACTGTAAGTGGAGTAGGAGGGGGATGAGATGTCCTGGATGTGATTTTGTGAATGTTTATTTCAAGTTCCTTTGAGGTATCCAAGGGGAGATGTCAAGCGTGTGTCAAATACAGCTCTATGCAAAAATAAGATGCCCCATAAAACAAATCTCAACACATTTAAAAGAATTGTAATCATACAAATTATATTCTCTGAACATAATAAAATGAAATTGGAAATCAATAACAAGAAAATTTAGGAAATACAAAAATACACTGAAATACAACAACATACTCCTAAATAAACAATGGCCAAAATCTAGAACACTGACAACACCAAGTGCCAACAGGTTATGGAGCAACAGAAACTCTCATACATTGCTTGTGGGAATGCAAAATGATATGGCCACTTTGCAGGTTCCTACAAAACTAAACACACCCTTACCATATGATCCAGTAATTATGCTCCTTGGTATTTACCCAAATGAGTCAAAAACCTATATCCACACAAAAACCTATGTAAAAATGTTTAAAGCAGCTTTATTTATAATTGCCAAACTGGAAAGCAACCAAGATGTCCTTCAGTAGGTGAGCAGATAAATACTTTGTGGTACATCCATACAATGGGATATTACTCACTGTGGGAATAAATGAGCCACAAAGCTATGAAAAGACATGGGGAAACCTTAAGTGCATATTACTAGGTGAAAAGAGATCATCCGAAAAGCTACATACTGTATGATCCCAACAGTATGAAAGTTTTATATAGTAAAAAAATATGAAGAAGGTAAAAAGATCACTAATTTCCAGGGGTTGGGGGAGATAAAAACGAATAGACAGAGCACAGTGACTATTCCGTATGACGCTATAATGGTGGATACATATATTTTATATTTGTCAAAAACCATAGAACAGCCCGGCCAGTGTGGCTCAGTGGTTGAGCATCGACCCATGCACCAAGAGGTCACCAGTTCAATTCCCGGTCAGGGCACACGCCCAGGTTGTGGGCCAAATCCTCAGTGGGGGGCATGCAGGAGGCACCCAATTGATGTTCTCTCTCTCTCACTCTCCCTTTTTCTCTCTCCAAAAATTAAAAAAGAAAAAATATTGAAAAAAACAAACAAACCATAGAACATGAAACACCAAAATGAACCCAAATGTAAACTGTGGACTTTGGGTGACTATGATGTGTCAGTGTAGGTTCATTGACTGTAACAAGCGTACTACTCTGTGGCCAGGTGATAATGGGGGAGGCTGTTTGTGGGGGCAGGGATATGTAGGAAGTATGTTTCTGCCCAAAATTTGCTGAAAAATAAAACTGTTCAAACAAACAAAAAAAGTATATTTAAGAAAGAAGGTGGAAGGGGCCAGAGGGAGAGAAGGAGGAGACATACAATCTCACATGATTGTATGTAAAAAAATTCCTGTTTTTAAATATGTTTTTATTGATTTTTTTACGGAGAGAGAGATAGAAACATCAATGTGAGAGAAAACATTAATTGGCTGCCTCCTTCATACCCCCTACTGAGGATCGAGCCCATAACTTGGGCCTGTGCACTGACTGGGAATTGAACCAGTACCTCTCAGTCCATGGGATGACGCTCAATCCACTGAGCCACACCGGCTGGGCTCTAGATAAAAAATTCTAAGGAATCACAAAAAATATCTATTAGAACTAATAAACTAATTAGCAAGCATTCAGAATAAAAGTTCAGTATATAAAAATTAATTTTACATATTAACAATAAACAACCCAAAATGTAATTAAGAAAACAACTCCACTTACAATAGCATCGAAAATAAATAAAATACAGAGGATGGTGAAAAAGGGGAAGGGATTAAGAAGTACAAATTGGTTGTTAGACTGACGAATCTCAAAGGGAAGAGGGGTGAAGGGGGTGAGAAGAGATTAACCAAAGCACTTATATGCATATATGCATAACCAATGGACACAGACAATAAGGTGGGGAAGGCAAGAGGTGGGTAGGAGTGTGGAGGAGAGGGTCAATGGGGTAAAAAAGGGGGGACATCTGTAATACATTCTACAATAATGATAAGTTTTTTAAAAAAGAATAAAATAGCCCTGGCCAGTTTGGCTCAGCGATTAGAGGGTCAGCCTGCGGTCCAGAGAGACCCAGGTTCGGTTCCCGCTAAGGGCATGTACCTCGGTTGCAGTTTGTCCCCGGCCCTGGTTGGTCGTGCGAGTGGCAGCCACTCGATGTGTCCCTTCACGTCGAAGTTTCTCACTCTCTCTCTCTTCCTCTCTCTCCCTCCCACTCTATCTGTACAAAAAAATGGAAAAATATCCTCGGGTGAGGATAAAAAAAAAAAAAAAAGAATAAAATACTTAGGAATAAATGTAACAAAAGAAGAGCAAAACTTGTATACTGAAAACTATAAAGCACAGTTGAAGAAATTAAATAAAACCTACATAAATGGTAAGACATTCCATGTTCATGTACTGGAAGACTTAATACTGTTAAATAGCAATGCTGTCCAAACTGGTCTGCAGATTCAACTCAATTGCTATCAAAATTACAGGTGCCTTTTTTGCATAAATGGTCAACCTGATTCTAAAATTCATATACAAAGAAACGTTTGCAGGTCAAGCCTTGGGGCATGCCCCTTTCCTAATGTTTAATGGCCAAGATTGGTGAACAAAGATACCTGAGGAGAAGAGCGCAGGGAGGTGGGAAGAACATCAACACAGTGTGCTGTTGTGGAACCTCGGGGAACAGAGGGTGTCAAGGAGCATGTGGTCAGTGGGGGCCATTGCTGCTGGAAGGTCAAGTAAAATAAGGACTGAGAGTTGTCCATTGGATTTGTGATAGGGAAGTCATAGATATCCTCAGCAGGAACAGTTTTGTGAGGTGATGAAGCCACAATCCTAATTGGAATGGATTAAAGATGAAGATAGAGCCTGGCTGGTGTGACTCAGTGGATTGAGCGTCGTCCCATGGACTGAGAGGTCCCGGTTCAATTCCTGGTCAGGGCACATGCTCAGGTTGTGGCCTCAATCCCCAGTAGGGGGCATGCAGGAGGCAGCCAATCAATGTTTCTCTCTCATAGCGATGTTTCTATCTCTCTCTCTAAAAAAGCAATAAAACATATTAAAACAAAATAAAGACAGAGATAAAAATGAGACTTCAAATGCAAACTTTGTTTCAAAGATTTTGGTAGTGAAGTAAAAGACCTATTTGCAGAAAACTACAGGACATTGGAAAAAGAAATAAAGATATAAAAAAGTGGAAGCACATACCTTGTTCATGGATTGGAAGATTATCATTATTAAAATGTCCATATTACCCAAAGCAATCTATAGATTCAATGCAATCCCCATCAAAATACCAACGACATATTTCACAGAAACAGAACAAATACTTCAAAAGTTCATATGGAACCAAAAAAGACCCTGAATAGCCATAACAATCTTGAAAAAGAAGGACAAACTAGGTAGGATCACAATACTGGATATCAGATTATACTACAAAGCTAGTGTAATCAAAACAGCCTGGTATGGGCACAAGAATAGGCATATAGACCAGTGGAACAGAACAGAGAACCCAGAAATGGACCCAAGACATTATGCTCAATTAATATTTGACAAAGGAGGCAAGAGCATACAATGAAGTAAAGACAGCCTCTTTAATAAATGGTGTTGGGAAAATTGGACAGCTACATGCAAAAAAAAAAAAAAAAAAGAAACTAGACCATCAACTTACACCATACACAAGAATAAACTCAAAATGGATAAAAGACTTAAATGTGACCCGTGAATCCATAAAAATCCTAGAAGAAAATGTAGGCAACAAAATTTCAGACATCATACGCAGCAGAATTTTCACTGATACATCACCTAAGGCAACAGAAACAAAGGAAAAAATGAACACATGGGACTACATCAAACTAGAAAGCTTCTGCACAGCAAAAGAAACAGCCACCCAAATGGAAAGGCCACCCACTGTATGGGAGAGCATCATTGTCAATGATACATCAGATAAGGGGTTAATTTCCAAAATATATAGAGTATTCATACAACTCAACAAAAAGAAGACAAAGAACCCAATTTAAAAAATGGGCAGAGGAGCCCTGGCCAGTTTGGCTCAGCGGTTAGAGCGTCGGCCTGCGGTCCGGAGAGACCCGG